AAGGTCTTCACACTGCGTATTCATGGTTGAAGTTTTTCAGAAGACTTTTGGTTTTTCCATCTGAAAGGTGACTGCATGAGTCACTGCACTTTAACTCGTGATAAAAAACATTATTTAAAAAAAAAACCAACCTTATACAATATAAACACGATGCAGCATTTCATATCTACTTTTCTTTTTCTGTGCAACCCCCCCCTCCCCCCTTCTTCTTCTTCTTCCCCAGATTTCACCTCTGACAGTCTTGCCCTAGATATTTCTCTATCCCTGTCAGACACACTTGCAGGTCTCATCGGCTGCCAGCTGTGGAGGAGAGGACGTGGAGATCAGCGCAGATGAGAAGTGAAAAGGATGAAGGGAAACCAATCGATCCAAAAACCTCCATCCTAATCTTGTTGACGTCCTCAGATGGTGCAGACAGGAGCCCTGGAGCAACTTTGGGGAACATATTAAATCCAAAACATAAATAAATTTTTAAAAATGACTTTTTTAACCATTTCCTGTGTTGTTTTTAAACACAGCCAGTATTTGAGCTTGAGACAACACTGGCGTGCACACAGGTGGGTTGCGCACACACACACACACAGACACACACACGATCTCTCTACTAAAGAAACTTTTGATTAATTTCATCAGCTTCACATATGTTGACTTGTCAGCTCCTTCAGCCTTTAGCAGCACATCAAAAGCATCAGAAGCACTCGGCTGCACCCTCCTGGCTGAAGCGTGTAGTGCAGCTTTTTTCATAAGAAGAATTTTGTAACACATTTTCGCTTTTATTTCCAAGCAAATGTACAGATGTTCGCCATTTACAGCCACAGAAAGGTTGGCAAAAATCCACAAGATATGTTTAAAAACTGTATACAAAAAGAGCCCAAAAAACTGTACATTCAGTAACATAACTACATTTAAATATTGTTCATACATGTATATACAGTACTGTATCTCAGTTCATAGATACTGCCGGTTATGTGAAGTGCAGCTCGCTATACAATAACACATTTTCAAAAAAAAGATAACATTTGAGTTGAAAGGCCGTCAGTTCAAAGATTCAGTGTGGACTGGTGCAGAAGGTCTGTTGATGGCTTTCAAAGTTTCTACAGCGAGGTGTCGGTCCTCAGGAATGACGGTTCAGTGCAGGGGTACCTCCGAGAAACAACTAACACCACAAATCTCTTTGTCCTTTTGTTTAAAGCTATGCATACAGACATACAAGTGTCCACTTTTTTTGCCACAATCCAGTTTGTTTGTTGGAATATTCTGAGATATAAACAAGACACACATTAAATACTGTCTCTGAAAAGTAAAACAAAAAAAGAGGGGTTTCTCAGATACCCCTCCCCCAAAATAGCAGTGCAGTAACTTTTCATTTTTGTAAGTTATTGAGACTTCCAGATGCCTCCACGGACCATGCTTAGTCACCACTGTGTAAGTACTGATCTGAGATCTCAGACAGGATAATGGATTCTTCACTGTCATGGTTGACATTTGAATATAAGTGACTCTCTGTCGCTTAGCTAGTGCTAAGAGGTCACATTTGTTGCAGAGAGACATTTACAAGCAGCTTCAGTTTGATTATACTTATTGCTTCTCCCAGCTAGTTTAGTCCTGTGGTCATAGTGTCTGTCAGCTCTCACATGGCATTATATTGTAGACTTTTGTTTTTCCCCCCTCCCATTTCATTAACAATTGTTGTGTTATTTGTGTGATTCTTTAGCAGTTAAGGTACTGAAGCCTTGGTACATTGTTTACAATGAAAAACATCTTTCTAGTCCAAAGGCCAATCAGAATTCAGGGCAAACAATAAATGGAGAGACAGGATCTTTGTTTTCTTCATTCAGATAATAAAAACAACAACAACAAAAATCCAGTATTTTCTAACTTACTTCAATTGTTCTAAGTCGTAGAGCCTGACGGATATATGATTTTTTTAAACTGATATATGGTGATTTAAAAATCCAATTTTCTGATATATGTGCTGATTTTTTTCTCTGTTTCAGGTACAAAAACACATTCCCCTAATATTTGTCACGTGTAGTTATCAGTTTGCTTATTTAGGCTCAGATTACCTGTTTATTATGTTTGTTTGTTGCCAAAAGGGATGTTGCACAGTGCCCTCTGATGGACAAACTATGCACTGTCCTCATAGCATAACTGAAGGTTGTCTTATTGGCTGTTACAAATACTGATGCCAATACATCGGAAAATAGCTAATATCATTCGATAAATATCGAAATCTGCTCTACTAAGCAGATCAATCTGGAATGTTCATTTCTTTTATTGGTGCGTAAAGCAGCAACAGAAAATACTTTTTTTTTTTTTTTAATTTAGCCAAACCAACCCTTCATTTTAGACAATTCCAACAGTACAAGAAACCCTTTTGCTTTACCATCAACTTTAAATCTCCGAAACTTGGAGATGGAAAAAAACAAAAGAAAAGAAAAACTACCATTGATCACCTGTAGCTGATTGGAAAAAGCAGAGCTGGAGCTCTTCAAGTCTGTGGTCATAAAAGGGAGAATTTTCCACATTGTACATAATCAAAAACAATTAAAAAATAACATTTCAGAGACAAATGCCCTCATGGGCATTTATTTTTAAAAAAAATTTAATACAAGCTATAAAAAAAACAGATACTAAACATAAGTGGTATTTGTTCATTGACTGTGTGTCAGTTCTGCTTGTTCAGTAGAAGTCTGCATAAAAACTCGATTTCACATTCGCCTTTTCACCTACAGTAGTTATTTCATTCCTCCAGTTACATCCATCATCTGCTGTGCCCTTGTACCATTGAAGCGCCTATTAACAGTATCAAATTGACCACAAAGCAAAGCAAAGACAGGCTGTGAAAACTAGCACAAGGCACCTAATGTAAAGCAGCTAAAGAATCTCTAGCAGCAACAAGGCTTTGGTTCATAGAACTAAAAACATCAGATCTACTGTCTCACGATGGATGAGTCGATGTATGAACGGAGGAACGACAGAGAAGACGCAGAAGGGGACGGATGAAATGATGATGATGAGGCAGATGGAGACAACTGTCACAGAGGTAGGAACAGCTTCAACATCGCTTCAAGAGAGGGAGGGTGTGAAGGAGAGAGAGAGAGAGAGAGAGAGAGACAGAGGGTACGAGTTGAAACAGGAAAGTGTGAGACAGAATTCAAAGAGCGCACTGTAAAGGCCCTTTTTTTTAAGCTGGAGAATCTCATTAGATTTCTCTAACACCGTTATAAGGCTTTTAAGGGCGGGAGCACTAAACTGTTAGATGCTACAATCAACCTGATCTGCAGAGCTAAAAAGCATCTTATTCTATTGAGATGAGGTGGAAAATGAGTATGAAAGGATATTAAGACGCTCGCTTCTCTGTCACATTATTAAAATAGATTTTTTTCACATTTTTTGTACATGCAATTTTTTTTTTTTACACTTAAGAACCCCATATATACTTATTCTTCCATTTTCTACTGTACACAGAATATGAGAGGACACTTTGCTGTGTTACTGGTCAGTTAAAGGTCCTCTCAAGGCCAATAAAAAAAAGTGTTTCTATCTCGATTCCTTTTTTTTCTTTGAATTGGTTGTGCCGGCTGTTTGTTTCATAATTTAATACATTATCAATGATTTGATATTTATTTAAGGCATCAAACCATTTGGGGCACTTTGAGTGAATTATATTAAAAGGAGAAATATATATAATTTTAAAGTGCTTCAATCAAAGTAAATACAAGCAACCAGCTATTATCTAAAGGTGATCATAAAGCGTTACCTGCTGTTTCTTTGGTAAATGATATCAGTGAAAAATACAGCAGAGTTTACAAGACGACATTAAGGCAATAAGAAACAGCCAGGTAGCGGTCACACAAGCAGTTCCTCTGTGTTCTACTACAAGACATTTAGTCATCCAAAGATAAGGTAAGTTTACAATCTATGTTCAAGATGATAGGACAGATGGAGATTAACAGATACACACACAGTCTTCTATCAGCACACACAGATACGCACGCAAACTTCTAAGCTACCTAAATGTGACTCTGAAAGTTTAAATGTTGGCTGTATAACATGATAAAACAATAATTGTTCACAAAGACCAACTCCTACTGACTCTGCTATTGGAGCCCAGGAGTAGCCAATGAGATGCGTACGTGCAATATGACTCATTCCCATGTTTTGGTCTATTTGTGCCGTTTGCATTCTCTGTATTTACACCCTATGTGCTGTACAGTATGATGATGATCTCAATGCATACATGTTGACTTTGGTATCGACTTAAACACTGCTTTTGTTCACTTTATAAAACAAAATGTAACACTTGTATATATATATATATATATAAATCAAGTGTTTCAATTTTACTATCAAAGTAACAAATTACCATGGAAACAGGATTAAAAAAAATGTGAAAAATTGTAATTTGCCTACAATATTTGCACTTGTTGAATTTCAGCTTACATTTAAAAACATAATCATGCTCAAAATACTGACTTTAAGTAATCAGATTACATGTAAATTTTCCATGTATTTTTGTTATTTAAGTAAACTGTTAAATTGTCACCAGCATATATTTCTTAATAACAAATTATTTAAATAAATGAACCTTTGTTTTTCTTTTTCTATTTCAAGATCATTTTGCTCTAAATTATTGCTTCATGTTTATGACAGCCAAGAGGCTTTTCTGTGTTTTGTCGCTAAGGGTGAGCTAGTTTAAGAGCTTTCAAAGCTCCCACACGTTTTTAAACCAGACATATTGTGACACAGAAAGCACCATGAGCTACGCTTTTCTGTCATTATTAACTGACTTGACCACCGTTTGCCATCTAATCAAAGTTAGGACAATCAGCTTGCTGTATCGTTTGCACAAATGAATCAGAAATTAAGCAAAAATTGTATCTCATCCCGATATAAAACAATTTAATTCCCCTATACGGCTACTTCCGGGCTCCATAGACTAATATTTTAACATTTATTCCTCCTTCTACTACAACCCTCCTTACAATGATGCAGTTTCTGATCCCAGAGTCCTAAGCAGTGTTTCTGGATAACATGTTTGCACACAGGCAACACCAGTTAGTCCTAAAAAGAGGCAAAACAGACAGAAGGGAATAAAGACAGATGGCAGCGACTGAAGACAAGAAAATGTTTGATCATAGAAAGCTTAAGCTAGCTCGAGCACGTCTACAGTCGTCCTCATTATCATCATTCCGGTCATAGAACATCAGCATGATTATCACAATAGCCATTAAAACACCCTAATAATCAGAGTAAAGTACACTTCAGCTACCATCAAAGGCAGGCAGGCGTAAAGGGCCAGTGCACATTTTTTTCATGTGAAACACAAGCTCGAGTCAGTTTGTTTGCTGTGACATCATTACACTGAGCCCTTTGCACGTTGTGGCAGCGAACCAGGCCCTGCCGACGGGGTCCACTCCAGAGCCGTCCAACAGTGCTTTGCGCCACACTTGGCTGCTAACTTGACAGAAATTATGAAGGTCACTTAGCATTGCAGTCTCCTCAACTGTTTATTATTTTACTCCAACTCAGTAACGTCGAAGCAAGTAAGTAAGCTCCAAAATTGCTTTCCACCAATTTATCTGAGTAACTCCATGTGGATGACATTGTTTCTGATATTAGAATATAAGATTTAAAAAAAATACCCCGGAGAAAAAGAAATAAATTAGACTGAGGTCTCAGGCCCGGCCCCGCTGTAATTGTACCCCTGCCTTGAATGGCGGGAGCTATCAGCAAACCGGAGGAGGGGGGTGAAGGTGCAGTAGTCTGGCGCTTTTTGCCAGCGTGTGAACATGACTTTCTTGGTAAAGGGTTCAGACCTTCGAGGGTTCCTTTGGTTTTCCGATCCTCGCCGGTGGCTGCTACCCTTAGACGGAGCGTGGAGGGAAGCCAAGGGGGTGAACTCAGACAGCTGGCCCTTGTAGAGTTTATCTGCATTCTGTATGAGGGCACAAAGGGAGGAAAAGGGGACAAGGAGGAAGAGAAAGTTCAGAGAAAGTAAAGAATAAAACATGGCACTTGTGGAGTAATGCAAAAGAAGAAGGTGGTAACACGTCGCAGCTGGCCATAGTTTGAACAGATAGCATGTGACTTGGTGGAGTCAAGTCTCCATCCTGTAACAATGCCTCTGTGAGGTCCTGAACTACAAAACTGCCTGTAAACCAGGACTCTTCACCTGATAGCCATCAACCCCATCAATGCCCCCAAGGCTTAATGGGAGCAATGACCATTATGTGCTGTTAGAGCAACTTATTAATGCTCATTATAACTAAGTCTGGGCCTCTCTTATATAAACCAATATAATCAGCATATAAGCATTTAAGATTATATATTTATTACCTAACACTAACAAATATGAATACATCTGCATACTGCAGGCACCTGATCCTGGGCACAATGCTATATCCTCAAGCTTCAGTTGTTTTTAAATGAATAAAGTATTTCATTTCCTTTAGTTTAATTTGCCAGCTGTGAGGTTAAATTTTCCATCCATTCTGTTCAGGTTTAAAAGCAAGCATGTTAAGAGCAACAAAAAAATAAATAAATCATAAACACCAAAAACATGCAAATGTCAACAAAAAGCTAAACATGCGTTCATTTCCTCTGCAAATATTACTTTTCTGTCTCTGTAGCAACACATTATACCACTAGATGGTGCTAAAGCTCCATGTGAGAAATCACCCAGCTGGAAGTAAAGTCAGTTGAAATACCTGAAGAAAATGGTTGAGCTTTTAGGACCTTCATACAAATAAAGCACACACTCCAACCCTTGTGTTAGTCAAATACAACAACCCAAAGTCAAACCACACCAGTTAACCCACCATCACACAGCAGCAACGTGTGCATTTTACCGTGCTGAAGCCCTGTAGGCTTCTGTGACAGCTACTCCATCAACAAGGAATCAGAGCTCATGTAGGCCAGGGCCCTCTCATACCTTTTATTATCTCTCCCTTGCTGCAAATATACACACACACACACACACACATTTGAAGACAAACACATCTACCATACGGACTCAAAATTGAAGCATCAAAGTAAGAGTGGTTTCTAAAACAAAAGGTGATTAAGGCCACACTGAATCAAGATGTAGATGCAAAGGCATGCAGTCCGATAAGACTGTAACTTCATGCAAAAAAGTGGAAATGACAAAGTAACAGGATACAGACTGAAAGGAAAATAAAGAGAAAGACGAGACAGTAGGAAAGGCTGAGGGTCACCTACAGAAGGGCTGGGTTAGAAACTGATTCTGCTGGAGGTCTGAGACAGCATAAAGATGGTGGAAGGCTCGGAGGCAAGGCACCGACGCTTAGTCTGCCAGGGAGGAGAACCACAGAGGGAGAAGGAGGAGGAAGCAAGAGATCAGGAGGGGTGAACAAAGGCAGGGAAGAGTTACAGCTGGGAAAGAAACATGTCAGATCTTCCAAAATGCCACATGATCAGTTTATGAGATAGACAGCAGCATGTAAACATTCTTCTTAGGCTTCTCAGGAGAGACTGGATCATACTGGAAAGTCTTTGGTGATGGTTATTAGCTCTCCACAACCACAGTTATCAGGGAGGTTATAGGAAAATGAGTTTGGGATGTAGAGGGAGAAATAATTAGTATCTGTAGGAAAAGGAAGTGAAGCAGACTGCACTGCAGCCTTCCCAGAAAGGCTGACATCACTCATCTAGTGCTATCCATGCAATGCACCTACTCATACAAAAACATTTGTGTTGTGTTTTTCAGTAACTCCACTGTAACTGGATCCCAGTGCTTCATATATTATGTATCATTATATCGTCTTGTTTTTTTATGGACATAATTTCTTCTGTCAACTTTCAGTGGAATACTGAATATTTCAGTATTTTGCTGCTAATGAATGCCTTCTGCCATTCATTATTTCTGAGCCACATGTCAGTGTTTATACACCTAATCGTGTTTTTCTGGTCCAATCTTTCAGTCCTGATGAATCAGTATGCATCAGATAAATAACTGCTGTTAACGCTGCTCTTTCAGCGCCTCAGAGTTGAAATCAGTCCATAGCTTTGAGTTTATTCTCTTTTTTACATAAGCAGGATGTTTTTTTATCCCATCTTTCCTTCTTTCTTCTTACTGTGCAGCATTATTTAATGTTCATTTTCAAAACTGCTCTGAAATAAAGTTTCGATTGCAATTTTCCTTCTTTTATACACTGTTTATGAAAGTCTAATGCACATTTCCACACTGCAACCCATTAACAATTAATGCCTTTAGAGGCACTCCTGGTTCAGCAGAGGACACTGTTCTTATTCTCCATTAATAAAACACAGAACTCTGAGTGTTAACCGCTAAAAAAAAAATACACACTATTGTGCGCACTCGTCTTAAAAATTAAAGGAGCGCTGCACACAGACACAGAGGCTTAACTACCAAAGCAGGGATGTAGCCACACCCTGCATACCTCTGCTGACCCACAATTGTCAGTTCGACATGTCAGGAACTGAAACATCCCAGTGAATAATAACCAGTAAACGCAGGTCGCTTGTAGGTAAATATACAAAATTGATTTCTGCCTTGCAAAAGGCAGGGGGCGCTGTTTGACCTGTGTAAACTGAGCTTTCTTGCATTTTTCATTATTAATATTCATGTAGAAAAGAAGCAGCGACCTTTATTGAAGAACAAATGAAGTAATGGTTAACGAACACGTCCTACTTTGGCAGGAAGCAAAATATTTACGGGATGTGTGGTCATCAGTCTTCTTGCATTACTGCAATTATTCCAAAATATCCATAATACTTTAAAAAAGATTTGTTTTTTTAATGCAACTACTCTCTATTTCTGCAAGCATTTGTGCCCACCTGTATGCGCTCAGTAGTGGTGGGCCACAGTGTCCTCCATATGACCTTCTTCACCACATCTGGCAACAGACTGGCTGTTATCAAAAGGATTATACTGAGCCAGGCTGGGCCACTGGACAACATCTGCATGAACACATAGTACATTCTCTGGTAGTTGAGGAATGGCCTGTAAGAGAGGAAACGACTGCATGAAAACAAATGCAATAAAACATCTAATAAAACGTCACTCTGACTGACACAGTTTTACATCAAGTAAACATTTAAATACAAAAATATTTCTTTAATCATACCAGATGATTCCACCCCACAGCAGGGAGAATACCACAAAGAAGATCAGTGAGCCCCAGATAACGAAATGATTGATCCAAGTCCAGTAATGAGTATCTAGGGCCAGCTACGACACAGAGACGATGGAAGTGAGACTGGAGCCAGACTTGCCTGGGTGTTTCTGTGATGTTCTGATGTGTCTGTGTGGTTACCTTGAATGTAACAGTGAAGACTAGCACAGTGAAGACGAGTGTCCCAAATGTCCAGTTTCCAAACATCTGCAGAAGGTAAAAAAGCAGCTGCTGTTATTGATCAGGAGATTTGTGCATGAAACACTTTCAACTTCTTGTTTTTTTGTTTTATTTATTTTATTGTATGTTTGATGTGAACAGATTCTAAGCACCTGTTAAAGTAAATAATTTGACTTGTGCTTATTCAGTACTTAAATGCTCAGGACACCTGCGCTAACATGCTTTTCGGATGACTTGACTAGGCTACGAGGTAAAAGTTGACATATTCAAGTAAGGAATCAATCAATCAAACAGATGGCAGTGTGCTCAGGTAGCAACATTCAGGTGAGGAGCTGGTTATCAGATGACTGATGGATGGAAAACAGGAGGATGATGTGATTGTATAGCTGAATATTCCTATCAGTCTCTTCTATGAGTGAAACCCTTTTACATGAACACTAAAAAAGTCATCGTGCACATTTAAGACCACCACGATGCAGGGCAGCTTCTTCACTACAACTTACACAATGAGCTCCTTCAGCATTTTGTGCAGCACTAAAACTGGCATATTTTCCCTTTATTGTAATTATTCTGAGGTGTCATATTAAGAGGTACATGGAGAACATAGTGATTCTAGCACACCATAACTGAGAAGTGACTGTTGCATGATTTTCTTTTTTCACAGGCCTGTGGCAATAAGATGAAGCCCAAAACCAAAAATGAACTAGTATCATAAAATTTAAAGTATGGGTACACTGAAGGTCATCTAACTGCTTGGGCTACACTATACTTCTGCTAAAAACAGGCACCTTGGGGTGAAACGTGATAAATAAAGTTAAAAAATAAAAATGATGAGCATGAAATGATAAAATAAAAGTTTTTCAGAGGCAGCTTCCAAATGCAGCTCTGATTTTTACATTGTTAGTACAAGTATAGTACAAGCTACTATCAGATACATTACAACATAAATTGTAGCGCTACAGAAACACTCGCATGAGGCAGAAAAATGATTTTTATCATTGATCAGATGCATTTCAATGTTTTTCTTTCACCTTTTCTTTTTCTAACACTTCAAAAGCTTCAGATTTGCTTCCTGTTTATGTGTTTATAAGTAATCCTATAAAAAGTTGTAATGCTTTAGGCAATGATCTCTAACTGTTACATAATGGAAGCAGGAGCACTTTTGCCCTGCTTTTAAGAGAAGTCCTAACATCTGCCACAAACAAAGCACACAGGATGTATAACTAAGGTGTTTGGTCACTGACAGCTGGACACATGAGCATGGGTCTGGGAAACAGCGAGTCACTACAGAAAAGCCTACAGCTGACGTATCTACAGCAAGCACTGAGGGCCGGACATGAGATGAACAGCAGTTTGTATCAGGCTGTGTGACGGTGGCGAAACAGGGAAGTGAAACTAAGGAGAGACGACAGAGAGACAGCGACAGGCTTACCATCTGTGTGTTGGTTGTCATTAGCTGGGAGGAGGAAAGAGAAGCAAAAAGAAAAAGCAACACAAAGGTAAGAGGATAGGAAGAAGAAGAGCATGTGACCAGAAGAAAATCATAATAACATAAACAGTTTTATGGCTGAAAGGAAAAAAATTGAAAAGAATTGGATGCAAAAAAAAAGAAGAAGAAAACCCAAGTGAAATCAAGCAACTCAAAAACAGTTCAACATGTTTCTGGGAGAGTAATGCAGCTTGAGAAATTAAACAAACCAAATAGAGAACAGAGAGGAAGATGATGGGAACCCCGCCATGCTGTCGTGTCTTACTAGAGATTTATGCTTCAGCGGGAAATCTATGCTGTTACCTGCAGTGTAACCGCAAACCCCGCTAAAGCCTATGGCGTAACCTGGCGTGGACCTCGGTGGGAAGGAAAAAATCCCAGTATTTTATCTGGGACACGACCACATGGTAATTACCACATAATGCACCAGCACGAGTGTGAATCCTGCCAATAGCATCGGCCACTTATGTAGGTTACGTTATGGGCTCTAAAAAGATTTCCCGCAGAAGTCTAAATAAGGCCTTAGATATAAACCACACGTCATCAGATTTTACTTAAACATCTATATATATATAATTATCCAACTGACATTAAATATTATTTACTAAAAGGCAAAAATAGTCTTCAAACTTTATCAGCCAACAACCTGCATTTTCAAGTGACATAAATAACCATCCAGTACAAGGTCATTATTATGAGAAATTACTTGACCATAATTATCTCATAACTACATGTAACTACCAGATAGTTACTTTTTCAAACACAATAATGTGCAGTGTCAGGAAAACACATTTATAATACCAGATCCATTTACACTACAGGTTTAATGTTAGTTTGTGCTACAACTTGATCAGTTTCTGCAAGCAATACAATAAGCTACGTGTCAGGCATTAGCCAGGCCATTAAAACCTGTCAGCAAAGCACAGTACAGCCACTATATTTAAAAGTAAATCCATTTTGCTTTAACTTACAGAGCAAAAGTGGTTGAGGAACAAGCTGAGACCTAAAACACTGTCACTATGTTCCCTAACTAACCCCAAACACCACAAGAAGACTAAAAAGTCAGATGACAAACAGAAAACAGATGGAGCTTGTGGAAAACTGAAGTGGCCTATAGATAAAATAGGCAGTTACTATTTTTCCTTTACTTTGAACTTTACTTTAAATATTTTCCAGGCCTTTTTCTCCTTGTTTCAATTAAAGAGCCTGTCAAAGCCACATGGTTATTACCTGTCCATTGCTGGTGAAGGTGGTGTTGTCAAACAGGAAGTAAGCACCAAAGAACATCACAATGGCATCATAAACGCCCAAGACTGTCCAGTATATGAAGGTCGGCCACCGCAGCAAAGAGTTCTTAGCAATATCTCTGTGTAGATATACAGAACAGAGATCACATGTTTATAGATTAATATCACAGTACACTGCCTGCCTCACGGCCAATGAGTCTCTAATAGTATAATACATACATCGATACAGACAGCGTCATTGTTTGTGGGAAAGGTTGATTCTTTTTTGGAAGAATACAACTTAAGAGTAAAGCTAAAAACGTAGCTTTTCAAACTCTGAACACATGCAAAACCAAATCCAAGAAGGCGGTTATCTGCCATATGATGGATGTAAAATAAACTGTAATGTAAATATAAATTAATCAGAGTAAAACACCAAATCATCTGCTATTACTTTGCACCTGGAGGCCGTGTATAAAGTGTCTAAAGAATTATTGAAATATTTATATTTTCTGTTGCTTAGACGACTTTAACTCAACACTGTTCTTGTTACAGTACATCTCCGGAAGAATCCAACTACCACGCAGTCTGCTTTGTATAAAACAGATGGTTCATTATCTGCTGCAGAAGACTGGATTACTGAAACATGCAGATAATTTCTTTTTCTAATTTTCATGTCATGAGAACAAGTTCCTGAAGAACATGTGATATTAGAGTCGATCCAGCGGGTCGATTTGCAGTCTTACTAAAAGACACATTTCTGACATGACAATCTTAAACAGAAATCCACCTGTAGAGACAAGGGTCTTTCTTCAGGATGTCCATATTTATGTGCTGCTCGATGAGACTGTAGAGCAGAATGGGCAGCGAGGTGAAGCTGATGTTGTAGAGAGTCAGGTAAGCCGTGTCATACAGCGGCTGGGGTTTGGGAAAGAGAGCCGTGTTAGTATTTTTGTTCTTGTTGTTTTTATGGTATTTAGGTTTTGTGAGTGCACACCTGTTGTGAGAAGCCACAAAAGAACTGGTAGAGGAACTGGGGGAAAATGAAACAGACATTCTGCGAAAAGAAAGAACAACAATTTAAATGTGTACAGGTCTTTTTGTTGCTGAACGCTAATTTTACAGAGTATAAATATCAAAAATATGAAAATTAATGAACTAAACAAATTAATAAATTAAATCTCACACAAAGCATTCCTGCACACTTAGGCTAAAGCCACAGACTCCGCAATTACAATCATCTTAAAACAAATTTAAAAAACTATACAAAGTTTTAAAAAGAAGTAAACTCAAAACATGTTCAGGGCGACTACCTTGTAGAAGAAATATTGTACAAGTTCAGAGATGCGTATGTAGTAATAGTGTCCGTGGACGAGCAGCATCTTCTTGAGGTGTTTGAACTTCGGGATGGCGTAGTCGCTGTTCCTCACTGCCTGGCGACCCTCCTTACCCATAATGCCTGCGTTGTGACCATTTACAGGGCAAAGTATTATCGCAATGATAATAGTATGGTTCTAACAGTTTTAACACTTCTGCATAAATTTAGTTTTGGAAATTCAAAAGTACAGTTTTTGTGTGGAAAAGGATTTTGTGTGAATGCAGGTGCTGTACACACTGCTGACTTCTGTACACAAGGGACTGCTTTTAAGAATTTCTAGTTTCTTCAAATTGAAGCTGTATTAAGAAGGAAACAAACTTTACCAGAGTGTGGCATGTTGCATAGGAATAGACAGAATACTAACCAATACCAACGTGGGCCTCCAGGATCATGCTGACATCATTAGCTCCGTCTCCAATGGCCAGCGTGATTGGGTGCTCCTCCGAGGCTTTGATTAACTTGACAATCTGCAGGTTGTGGATTCATCTGAATCTTAATGACATGAGTGAGAACATCTGTTTCACAGTTAAACTCAGAGTACAGATGGCCTTCGTACCTGTGCTTTCTGAAGTGGCGCCATTCGACAGCAGAGCACGGCACTGCAGTTCCGACAGATTTCCAAGAATTTCTCTTTGTAATTCCCTGAGTTTGAGCCCTCCTGGCCGGGCCTCATTACAGCAGAGAGGGTAGCTCCGTCAATGATCAGACCATAGTCGGTGCAATCACCTGATAGCCTGGGAAAAAAACACAAAACCTGTCAAATACGAGTAACTGCAGGATGACACTGTCTGAAGCATGCTGTGAACATAATACCCACTCAGAGAAGGTGTCCCGGGTCATGCCCCCATTCTGCCTAAGGACCGTCCTGCTCAATTCAAACAGGACGTCGTGAAGGCTCTGCTCCTCAGTGCGTTTGGTGGTCAGCTCCAGGATTTGGGTGTTGCGATGAAACAGCTTGCTGGCATAGCACGTTGCAGCTGCAGTCTCCATCTTGTCTCCTGTCAGCACCCACACCTTTATACCAGCTTTGTGCAGAGACTCAATGGTGTCTGCTGCTTTTTCCTGTAGCCTGGTACGCAGCCAAGAAACAAGAGGTGGCATGTTTTTAGCTGCATTAAATAAATAGGTTTGTTTTATTTCTCTTTGCCTTTTATTCAACAACAGCTCAACTGTGCAGTACTCCAGCACGTGGATTATTTCCTCTCTGTGCTGGATGGGTGAAACGCCCTCTGGGCTGACAAGTAGTTTTAAGCCTGCACTATAATTGCCTTAGTGGCACGTGTGTGATTGGAGGGTTAAACTGCCACTTTCCCTCACTCACTTTGGTTCACTCAGAACTAGGACAGCACTGTCCATGGCAGCAGACACAGAATTACTGTAATGTTAAGAGTCACTTGAGCTGAAGAGGTTTAGACATTTATAGGAAAAAAAGGTGCATAAGTGTAATTTTGAAAGGGCATTTCACGTAAAATTTGCACTTAGAAGGACAAATAACTGAAATGACAACAGCATGCAATGTAAATTGTGGTTATGTTGCCAAGCTACCAGCTGTACAGGAAAACCTTTGATGAAAAAAAAAGTGCAGGATGTTGATATAATTTGTCATTTAGGTGTCCTTAATACCAAAAAAAATTCAGCACCTGTCCTCGACAGCAGTTGCTCCCAGCAGTATCAGGTCCTTCTCGATGAGGTCGTAAGCCTCTGCCAGCTGTTTGTCTCGGTCTTGTAATGCTAACTTAGCTCTGTTCAGCAGTTGGAAAACCTCCTCGTACTGTTCTGGGCTCAGAGAGCGATAGGCAACACAAAGTGTCCTCAAACCCTCCTGGTGGAGAACAGAGATTCACACAAGGTCAGGCTGGTATATATTTAAGACTCAATAAAAACAAATCTACATAAAACACTGTTTCTTGAATACAGCCTCTGAATGTGAGTGTATGGTGGGTGGATGCCAACTACCCATTCAGCCTCACTAGTACAACACTCACCACATATTTTTCAGTTTCCAAAGAAACCTGTGATTTATCTGTAGCTGCAACCACAGCAACATTTGTGTCACTCGTCTGCTTTTTACTGCATGCAAATTGAAGCTATCGTGGTATTTTCATGTGTAAACTGAACTTTAAATAGTCTTATTCAGACTGCGATATTTATTTTCGCACTTTGGAAGTCATTATGAGATTTTGCAGTTGACTGCTTAGTTAGGTGCACTCTCTTACTATCTGTCTACTTATTAGTATTTCCTAGTTTTCCCACAAGGATTTTGTGGGTGTATAAAGAAAACAGTATGCAGAGTCCATCACTGTTTATGGTTCTGTTCAGTATTTAAAGAAATCTTCTTCTTTCCATCTTCTGACCAAATCCTACGACAGTCCCACAGATAGAAAGACTGTGCTGACACAATTATTAAATACATGTTAATAAAAAATATAAAATAAAAAAAACAGACTTGTGCTTTTGTCAATTAAAGGCCACACCAGATCCACTTAGAAAGAAGTTCTGTTTAATGGAACTACATGATGCTTCTCATGCGGTTGTGTAAACTGTAACCATGCAAAGAACTTAGATAATGGTAATTGGCCTGTAGTCCCTAAGGACCCCAAAGCACTTTACACATCCAGTCATCCACCCATTCACACACTGGTGATGGCAGCTACATTGTATCCACAGCCACCCTGGGGCGCACTGACAGAGGCGAGGCTGCCGGACACTGGCGCCACTGGGTCCTCTGACCACCACCAGTAGGCAACGGGTGAAGTGTCTTGCCCAAGGACACAACGACCAAGACTGTGGGGGCTCGAACCGGCAACCTTCCAACTATAAGGCGAACTCCAAACTCTTGAGCCACAATCTTTCAGGAAAAAACAACTTCCTGTTATATTGTATGAGCCTATAACAATATGAGAAAGATGAGAGTGAGCCTGCACGTGTGTGTGTGTGTTTGTGCTCTCTCACCACTGCATTTTGCTCCACTCGAGCTCGGACCTGATCCACTTTGCCTGAGATGACCCTTGGGAAGATAGAGGAGTCTGCACCTTTACAGAAGAGATAAACCTCACCTGCTCAAACACATACACAGAAAAAAAAGAGGATCGGATTAAAGAAAAACATAAACACAGACACATAGAAATCAATATAAAGAATATACATATATAGTTTTGTGCGCATTACCAGTGCTGGCCTTGACGATAACGCTCATCCTCCGTCGGACTGAGTCAAATGTCAAAACCTCTAGCAGTTCAAACCTGATAAAAACAGGAAGAAAATCACACAAATGCTACTGAAAAAATAATAGCCAACTATCAATTAAAGAAGTTAAAAACAGATAAAAATAACAATAGTCATCTCATTTTCAAGGTTCACAGAGAACAATAACGTTGCTTAAAGCGGCACACTCACTTTTCAACTTCATCCTCCCTATTTAAGATTTCCATCTGACCGTCCTTGAGCCTCAGATAGGTGAAACCGAGCCTGCAGCACAGAACAACCATTATTGGAGTGAATAAAATGAATGTCCAAAAAACAGAAATAGAAAAATGGGAAAACGAAATTCTTCTGAATGCAGCAGTGATTACTACTGCCATTGTGTGCAACGTGAGGTTGTGTGTGCTGCACCTCTTCATGCCCTCCACCAGTGCAACCTCGTCAGGAGAGGAGGAGATGTAGAAGGAAGTGGACTTGCCCTGGTGAATGCCATGTTTGATCCCATCTACAGTATCCTCCTCTTTCACCTGCACCGTGTGGCACAAACACAACGCCCGGAAAAACAGCTCCTCGTGCTCCTGCAGTGGACGGCCGACACTAAATTACCCTCATTCGCACGAACCACAAACGCACATTCAAAGCGAGTCTGCACTTACCCTGGCTGCAGGACCTGGGGATGAGTCGATCATGTCCATACCGGCAGCTCCAGGCATCACCTACAGACATACAGACAACAGATCACTCTGGGGGTCACTGGTTATCAAACACAGGCTACGATGATATGTACATATGGCATTTTAGTATTAAAGCTTGATTCTAAGACTTGACATATACAACACGATGTCCATGTTTATGTGACAGTAACCCCTTTACTCTGATGTTTGAAGTCCTATGTTAAAAGGAGTAAATTGTAATAATATTACAACACAACAACCCTCCTAAAATTACAACAGACCGTCTGTTCAGCACATTTAAGGTTGTATGAGCTGCTGACTTGTCAATTAATGCTCATGATCAGTTACTTGGCAAACATAAATAGACATATGGCTCAATAAACAGCAGCAAGACTTGCAGGCACAATTTGATTTCCTTGTATGACCATTAAGCACTGAACACAGATGATTACACTAAACGCACAATGCCCAGGAGTTTTATTGTCAGGAAATCTGTAATAATCCATTGAAAACACAGAAATGACTAAACGCATGAATGTTACATTCTTCTCACAGATTTTTATTAGATAAAACACAAAAACAAAAAAAACCTAAAATAGGCCTAAACTGTTGCCTTTCTGTCATTTGATTTTTACACCTCCATTACATAAAAATATGAACTCTTTGTAAATAAATGAAAGGCTATAAATAAATCAATCACAAACATTGATCCATCTTTACCTTGTCCAAAGAGACTGTATATAAAGGATGGAAGTAGTGTGGCATCATTAAAATGGTTTTGAACCACCCTTGGAATCTCCTTTAGAGTGCCTTTATTTGTATCTTTAGAAATGCACAACATTATCCAGCAAGTCTTATTAGCAAGCTGCATCCATACAAACTGTGGTTCTTTCATGCATACACTGAAACACCCACAACATCTACTAATTGGAAGGCTGGTGGTTCAATCCGTTGATCCTCTAGTCTGCATGCCAAAGTATCCTTGGACAAAATACCTGAACCCTGAACTGAGTTTCCCCCGGTGCATCCACTGCAGTGTGATTATGTGAACGTCAGGCTCAAAGTGCTTAAGCACAGAAAAGAAAGTGCTTGTAGGACTGTGTATGAATGAGACTTGTAGTAAGAAAAGTTCATGGCTGAAGCTGAATATCTTAACAGATCAATCTAGGGGGACTGAACGTTTTACCTGTCCATTACAGATAGCGTGAGGTACATAAACGTGTCCATCCACACAGCACTCTATAAACTCCATGTTGTTCTCTGTTAGCGTTCCTGTCTTGTCTGTAAACACATACTCCACCTGGAAAGAAAGCACGGTAAGTGTTTTTTTATTCTTATCTCTAACTCACTTTTCCATACAGTAATGTTTCTTTGCTCATTATTCTGCCCGGAGTGAAGTACACTTTGCTACCTGCCCCAGTTCCTCATTCAAGTCTGATGTGTTGACCACAGCTCTCTCCCCCAGCTCCTCATCAAACATTTCATCGTCCCACATGATGAAGTAGGAGCCCAGGAACTTCTGCATCTCCACAGTGACATACATGGACACGGGAATGATGTAGTTGAAAAGAACCATGAAGGCCAAAAAGTCTGTGAACGCCCTGATTAGCTGAGGAGGAGGAGAACGAAGAACGTGTGAGACAATAAAGAGGGGATCGAAATATTTTTATTTTCCAGGATTCGAGACTCACAACGTGTCTCTGTCTCTCAACTTCCGTCTTCTGGTTGTAAAAGGGCTCGTCTTTGTTGGGGTCGGACTGCCACACGTATTTCAGTGCCGTGTTGATGAGAGCTTTGCTGATGAGAATGCACAGGTAGACCACCAAGTAGGCATTCATTGACCTGCAGAGGGAGAAGTTAAAGATCTGTAACATATTTCTTCATGATAGTGAAAGATAGATGAGTTTTTCATTAATCTGCTTTGAACAATGTGGACAAAAATTTGGATTGAAAACCCCATTTGAAAAAAAAGGATTATGGAAACTATCTGCCAAGGATGGAGGAGTCTGTGCCTCCCTTAAAACATTCCATTGACTTCATTACATTTTTCCTGCATTGATCTGTCTTTATGACTTGTGTGCTTTATTATTTCCCTGAAAGATTACGCACAACCTCCAGAGTAGAATTTAATATGACTAAGTGGAGAGATGGAGCATGGCAGTTTGTGGCAGATCACATGTTTATATAATTCACATATACAGGTTCTAAGCTTTAGACTTTGTGTAGCATGTGCTTAAGTGTCTTGTATCACATGTTGAACTGCTATGATTGTGTTTCTTGTGTTTCATCCCTCTTTTCTCTTGGTGATAACACATGTTCTCATGAGTGCAAACACAAAAAAATAAGGGGCGGAGCTTGAGGCCCTGGTACTATTTCTACTATTTTGGTACCATTTCCCACTGTGGTTGAGAGTGTAAAAAGCACAAGTGTGCGCAGGTGCAAATGAAAGTAGTTTGAAAGGGAGTTAGAAACAATCCATAAGAGATTTCTGACTGCCGGTCAGCTATTTGGCGATTTTAACAAACAGGAACTAAAAAAATAAAAGCACTAGAACCCCAAAAAACTCGCAACCCAGTCCACCATGTAAAAGGTAACTTGGAAAACAACTCAGTATACTCGTCAGAATATTCAAACTTGAAAAGGGGAACAGCTGAGACAAGACATTTACTCTGAGCTGAGTCAATGAGCCGACGAGTTAATGAGACACACGTAGTGAGCAAGTGTGAATGTAATCCACCTACAGTCACTCATTTATACATCTGGATACAAAGACACTGTCTACACCAGATGGAAAGAAAATTGATCCAGTCAGCGCAGCGAGCCAAAGAGACACACACAGACGCTTAAGTCTCAATGAATAAACCAAGACATGAGAAGTGAACAGATGACTCTAAGGACGGGTAAGAAAATTTTCAGTTATTATCTAAGCTGGTTAGCACAGAAACAGCCAAAGACTGTGAAACTTGCATGAGAGCACTGATCGTTGCTAATAGGCTCCTTTCAGAAACAATTGATAATATAATATAAAAATGAAAGAGGAGGAAACGAAAAGAGCTTACTTTTCCACTGCAGATCGTTTCTGAGACTTGGACTGGTAATTGAGAGCCATCTTGGTTTCCATGCCAGTGTAGATGACCACAGCTACAGAGGGGAAAAGGAAAAGTCTCATTCAAAATGCTGCACTGTACATTAAAAAAAAAAAGAATATTAAAAAGTATAAAGTTGAGGTAATCTCTAACATTTATCATTAATTGTGTAGAATTACCATAGATATATTCAGTGTTCTTGAGTGTGGCTCCTCGGAGCAACAGGTTCTCTGATCCTAACGGCCTGCAG